ACGAGAGAAGAAAAATAAAAGGAAAGAAAAAAAGGAAAGAGTGAGGAAAAAGAAAAATAGTGAGGAAGAGATGGGAACAGATAGAGAGAGAGAGAATAGAAAGAGAGAGAGAGAGAGAGAGGAAAGAGACGAAACATAGAGGAGAAAAAAGGTGAAAATAGGGGGTGACAGAAAAAAGAGGAAAGAAAGAGGCAGGACCAGGAGATAAAAAAAAAAAAAAGTATAGGAAAGGAAAGAAAAAAGAAAAATGACTTTTCTCATTGCATTTCGGAAACCCACGGAAGAGCAAGCACCCGTTCTTCCTCCACACGCACTCACGCCTCCGGACGCCAGTCATTAAACACACCTCCACGCGCTCATTCACTCCCTCACGCACGCATACGGACACTGGCAGACGCAAACACCGAGAGGTATTGAGAGAGACACGGGTACGGACGTAGGGAGACAGATATAGAGACTGACACAGGTAGAGAGAAAGACACAGGTAGAGGGACAGGTACGTGCCAGCGCCCACGCACATTTGCTCACTCCAGTCTGGCAGTCAGTCAGGCAGTCAGTCACTCGCTTAGTCAGTCAGTTAGTCACTCACTCACTCACTCACTCACTCACTCACTCACTCACTCACTCACTCACTCACTCACTCACACACACACACACACACACACACACACACACACACACACACACACACACACACACACACACACACACACACACACTCACTCACTCACACTCACTCAAACCGCACTCCCTGGATTTCGTCCCCAAAATGACTTGTATTCTAAGAAGAGAAGGACGGAAATAGAAATACAGACAAAGGGAGAGAGAGAGAGAGAGAAGAAAATAAAAGGAAAGAGTGAGGAAAAAGAAAAAAGTGAGAAAGAGATGGAAAGATAGAGAGAGAGAGAAAGAGAGAGAGAGAGAAAGAGACGAAACAGGAGGAGAAAAAAGGTGAAAATAGGGGGTGACAGAAAAAAGAGGAAGAAGAGCAGGACCAGGAGATTAAAAAAAAAAAAAAATAGAAAAGAAAAAAGAGAGCAAAGCGAACGAATAGAAACAAAGAAAAAAAAAAGAAAAGAAAAGAAATAAAAACGTACCCATAATTCGTTTTTATTTTCTTTTTTTTTCATTTTTCATCATCATCATCATCATGTTCTGATCCTCTTGAAAGACAGACGCGCAGCCTCTCGAAGATGAAGCCGGAGAGAGGAGGGAGAGGGAGAGAGAGGGAGAGAGGACAGGTCGACAACGCACCTTCCACGGTTCCTTTTCTCGGAGCGCAGGGGGTGAGGGTGTGAGAGGAAGAAGAGGGAGAAAGAGAAGTGAGGGAGAGAGAAAGAGGAAGAGGAAGAGGTGGGTAGAGTAGCGGTCGTGGGGGGGGGGGGATTTGAGAGAGAAAGAGGGAGAGGGAAAGAGAAAGAGCAAGACAAAGACGTGGGGGAAAAATGACAGACGGAAAAAGAAGAGATAGAGAGAGAGAGATTAAAGGAAAGGTGATGAAATTGTTGAGAGGAAAGGAAGCAGAAAAAGAAAAGGGACTCGAAGGAAAGACATAAGAAGAAAAAGAGACAGAGAAAAGAAAAAGAAAAACAAAAGAAAATATTTTTCTTCCTGCTCCTGCTTCCTCTAAGAGTGAAAAAAGACAAAAAAAGAAAGGAAAAATGACGAAAAAAAGTGATAAACAAAGCGAAAAAGAGAGAAAGAGAAAGATAAAAATGGAAAAAGAAAGGAGGAATAGCCCAGAGAAAGCAACATGTGTTTTGAAGTAAACTCTTGAACGTCGCAGCCTATTTATAGACGTGTAAGAGAGGGACCCTTGAGCTAAAAAAAAAATATATATATAAAGATAAAAATAGAAAATAAAGTGAGTGAGAAAAGAATTGAAAAAAAGTGAAAGAAAAGAAAGGAAAGGAATGAAAAGAATGTGAGATAGCGATTCTAAAAAAGAAGGAAAAGGGGAGAAATAGATGAAGGAAGAAGAAAAATAAGCTTAAAAAAAGGGAGAAAAAGGAAAAATTAAGGAAGGAAAAGAAAGGAAAGAAATCCAGTTTGCTTTGTTCTCTTTCCCCACTTTTTTATTTATTTTTTTATTTCTTTGTTTCATCTCTTCTCTTTCCATCCAACTTCTTCCCTCGTTCCCTCTACGCATCTTTTACAAATTGTGAAAAAAAACGAAAAGAGAGAGAAAAACAAACAAACAAACTAATCTTCAGATAATAAGAGAACAACAAACAAACAAAGACAAAAAACAAGCAAACAAACAAACAAACAGACTGGTTACAGAACGCGCTTCGTTATAAAAAAAAGGATATTTTTTTGGTGAAATTTTTGAAACAGGTAGGTTTTTTTGAGATTTTTTTTTTCTTTTCAAATTTTGTATCACGTAAGAGTTTATGATGGTAAGCTTTCATTCCTAATTGGCAATTAACGAGTTGTTTAAGTGTAGTTAAGGTGTAGATTAATTAAGGTGTAGTTTGATGTAGTCAGCTGTGATGTTGAG